GAACTATATAAGGCTCATTATTTGACGCAGTTAAGAAATAACGAAAACTATGAACATGAGGGTTAGAAATGGCAATGAAAAAACGTTATGTTTCCTAAATTAATCTTTTTCTTCATTATTCGAGTTCAATACAAATTCAGTATTGTATACGCGGGTGAGCCTGAGTACTGGTCTGAGAGCCCCCGACCAACGCGCGCCCCGACCTCTGCAGCCGATGAACCCCAGCAGATTCGTTCAGTGCTGCCAAACAAATACAAAATGTAAATTAAAACCATAAATCTCCGTAACGTTGTCCTTGTTGCGGCCTGAGTTGTGAAATTCTTGCAAAACTTTAATGGCGCTTCGCAGCACTGCATGGTTGCTTCGAGAAGGAATGTTGATTGTAGAGTCATCTGTTTCTCAGTTGATCTTCAAACAGTTGAAAGCTTTTGGGTGATCATTCAGAGCTTCAGATAGTTCTTCAAGATCTCCAACGCGGAACAATTGACTGCTGAAGCAATGGTTAGCCCATGAGTAAGAAATGAATAAACAGATTTATGCAAAGTGATCCGGGTTTCTGGCATCAAAATAAACGCAAGAATGGCTAGACCGGCACGAGAGTTCCAACGTGCATTGCTGATGTTTGAGATTTGTTTGCAATTCACGAAGGGGATATCATTCCTCTAAGTCAAGTGACGGAAGACACAAGGGAGATGGTGAAAAAATTTCATGTCTTCAAATTCATCACCCTAGCAGAGTATAAAGCTATGTCAGTCTCTGAAACTGTCTGGCACACACCCGCGAGATTCAGCGATACCGAGGACTTCGTTTCATAATAGACTGAAGTTGGTGCAATCGGCTGAAGCTGGTGCGTAGACTAAGCAATTGATGTAGTTAAAATTTAAAGGTATTCTGAAATTATATGATAGCACGAAAATGATCGTTTTGAGGCTAATTTTAGTTCAGATTATTAAAAAAATATGCGAAATCTTACATTTATATTTTTATGACAACCTTAAAGTATACAATTTTCAACAAGAAATGAATGTGACGGCGATTATAGGTCATTTAAAAAATGTGTCACTCTCGATCAAGAGATTAATTGTTTGCCGTGCGTTCAGTTGTACTCGTGGCTCGGATGCTTTTCGTATTTATTGTGTCGTGTGCCGTTCTAATGAATTATTTAAGAAGTTCTTTGAAGCTCAATTAATATCATATTTCACAGCATATCGGAAGTTTAAAGTCTCTACTCTTACAATTAAGAGTAGGGACTTTGAAAACTACTCTCTACAAGTAAGCGCTGCATATAGCGAGGAACGGTACCAGGGCCCATACTTTCAAAAGAAGTTAAGAGATCATAAGTTCATCAGCCAATCATTGACGGCCTTTCAAGCAAAATCCACCAATCATAGACAAGAAATTAGAGCGTAAGTACTTACGATCACTTAGCGAGTTTTGAAAGTATGGCCCCGGGCCGGACAATAATAATCGGATTGCGTCATTGCAACTTCTTGATGTTCGTCTAAACTCAGCGAGGTGTCATTCTCAGTGCATGCAACTGTGAGTTGCAGCCCAATTTACCGTACATAACATTCAAAATTGAATTCCAGCTCCTATTTCCTAACGTTTTGAATGTTAACAGCTCATTTGTTTGCTTTGTTTGCCTTAAGTGTTACGTGCGTGATCCTTGCTTACGTCTCAAGGTCGAATTGGTATTACACTTCATCTTTTGGGGTCGACCATGCCCATATTAAGCAAGGAGTGTACCTACTGCCCAAGATGTATAAAGTACAAAAAATTGCGCGGCAAATGTGTCCTATGTATCGTGTCAAGTCCTAATCTTGAGACTTCATATAACACTTCGGCGACCAACCTAACGACTGACCGGTAGGTAAAAGGCAAGCCGAACGCTGGTCTGAAGTTGGGAGCTTGCTTGATAGCTTTGGCGTTAATTTCACGCTGGGGGACGAAGCTCAACGAGAGCCTGATTCATGCCCTCGTTACACCTGAGAACTTGTGACAATAACTCGAGGCAGCGCCATGTATGCATGTAAGCAGGCGTTCTATGCCTCATCACGAAATTGCGTCAAGTCCGAACGATAATGAGGCTGGGACCGCGGCCAGCCCTCCGCCTCACAATACGCCGGCTGCACCGCGGAGTGTCAAAGGATCCTCGTTAAATTTCAGCGCGATTTACACACACAATTTAGGCAGCAAACTTTGATTATTGTCGAAGGGAAACGATGGCAAAATAGTAATGCTTGGTGGTGTACATATACATATTTGTAATTCCCTTGCTGAGGTCACACAGTCTAAAGTACATTCGCGCTGTCCTGCCAAAAGAATTTTTTTGAACGAATACTAAATTGCTCTGTACTGTAATCTGATGAAAATTCTGTGACATAAACTTGTTCGCTCTACATTTTTTATTCTCTGAAATGCCTCCCTAATATATTATTTGCGATATCATTTTATATTTAAAATGAGACTGTGATTCTTTAGATCCTTAGTCGTTAATTTACATAACTCATTAGCTAAACAACTTTTTGTCATCTCCAATTCATTTTTGATTATTGCAGCGTCGGTGGTTAAATGCATGTCCAATATGGAAAATATGTTGAAAAGTTGATAATAAAATTGGTCAATTTGCTTCAATTTACCGATGCTTTTGTGTGTATCACAATCACACGCATACACTCGTGCTGCTGACAGTTGCTAACTCGAGCTCTTTTGCTGGGCGGTGGCCGTATACATCTGTCCTTTACAATGGTGCATTAGTGGAACGATGCGTGGCACCTTCTGCAAGCCGCTTATAGCCACATGAAGACTGCGAGCCGCCACTGCTTCGTCTATCATTCCTATATGGTTCATTATAAGGATTTGTCGGTTTGGTATTTTTCGCTTTGATATTCATACCATTTTTCTTTCATTTATATTTATCCTAACATGAACGCTGATTTTTTCAGACGAGTGTATATTTCGTAATCTGGATATGATGCGTTTTTTGTTTTCTTTTACTTCATTTTATCACGATGAAATTATAAGCTTGATGGGATTGGCGCCAGGCTGCATTGCCCATGCTTCTTTCCAGCCAATGTCGTTGGTGTAGCTCAGTGAATGCAAGCATTTAGACTGCTCGCGACTCGCGGCCACAAAGCTGGGCCACACAAAGCCCTGGGCATTGACTTGTCACGGAGGAGGAAAGTGAAAAGCAGGTTCTGTGTGGGTTATAGTTATGCATGTTGCTGGCCGCTCAAAAGACCCCTGCTCTTGCAACGCTTAGAATCACCGACGCTGCCCTTGGTGAACTGCAGCAAAGTTGCGCAACACTACCGAGGCAAGATATAACTTAGAACGCATAAGACGACCTGCAAAGTATGGGGTTGGGGATTTTCGATACAGTGTGAAGCTATTATTTTTGAAGTAGAAGGTATTACATTTGAAAGAATTGTATTATTCCAGTTGCGACCGACAGCAGCTGCTCGATTTTGTGCTTTTAGAAACCGAACAATTATTACATTTGAATGGGTCTTGCTGATTTTACTTGAATTTTCGAATTCATTTCATTTTAATTCAATTCTTTAATCTTTGATGACACATGATGACGGATATATTATTGTGAATACATCCTTATATGGGCTGGAGCATATATTCAGTCTTGAAATGCCAAGCACCTTACGAACCTTGCAATAAGTCCTGCAGCTATCTCAATCAATTAGTCAATTATGGAAAGATCGGGTTTCATAAGCCGGATCCCTTGTGAATCAAGTCATGAAAAGTACATGAATCGGTAACAGGCCATGGGCCTATTTCTTTAGTGCCGACATTTCTATTCTATTCTAGTTGTTGTTTGGGAACATTGTTAGGGAATTAGAATTTAGTATGTTATAATTTTGTATTTTTGTAATTTTAGTTTTCAGTTTAGAAATGCGGAAGTTAGATTTGTAGGCTTTAGTCCGTCCTGGTCAGTCCCGCATGTGAACCCACAGTGTCAAGGAGAGTTTTTGAAACTACAGATTTCAAGAGAGTGGTTTCGGAAGTGTCTTTCATTGCAAGCCTTTGTTGGGGTCCACGTTAAAGTACTGTAAGTACGGCTGGACGAACCTGGGTGACCCCAGCAACATATAGTTCACGTAGCGCTTTGCTCCCACAAATCCCATGAATGGTATGTTCTTGGGTAATTTGTCAGGGCATAGATCTCGTGGCTTAAATGATTTCAGTCGGTGTTCCGCTACCACAGGTCACAGCTACGCTGCTCCAGTGTTACTTGATGCAATGCTGGGCATTCTTGGTAACTGAAACACAATCTGCAAAATTTACTATTTTAATTTAGGCTCTTCCTCTTCTGTACATATTTTCATCAACATTAAACCAATCAGATTAATTAACAAGCAATTAAAGACAAAATAAATTTTATTCATTTTTGCAGAATTTATATTTTTACTTTTCATTAATAATATTGGAAGCTTTAAAGAGAATAAATAACTTAAGATGATTCCGGCTTATCATATAATCGCAGGACGAAACAGTGGGCAGAGATGGACCGGAGCACAGACGTCTACCAAGTTAAATTGAACAACAATGACCTATCGAAGAATAACGCTACGACGGAAAGCTGTTTCTAAACTGTCACAACTAAGTCGTAAAATTAGTGGAGGAATTATTGTAACGTTTAGAATAGAAGTAAACAATACAAACGTTAGGTTATAATACGAACTTTTTAGCGCATTTTCTCATTTATGGAAAAATGCACTATTGTGCTCGCCAGTCCGTCTGTCTGTCTGTCCGTCCGTCCGTGACCTCAAGTTTTCGTCGACGAGAAAATGCGCTCTCTGTCACTCACTGCTATGAGTACTGAGTTATATATTTTTTTTTTGCTGTGTGAGAAGTTCCAACGGAAGCACGTACTGGTTGTTTCTATGGTACACAACACTCGTAAATCCTTGGAAAGCTTTTAGCCATAATATTGAGAACTTGACTTTCTCGGACGCTAATACAGTTATGTACTCTCTCTCTTACAGGATCCACGCGGTGACAGCGAATACTGGCGCACATGTAGAATCTTATTTACGTGAGTATCCCAAACATTTGCTTTTTCTATACGTGTGATCATGGGAACTGTTCTATAGAGAAGGGATTCATAAGATTTGTTTAACATTATTAAATTTAATATTTTAATTTGGTTTGATGCAGCAGTCAGTAGTGGAATGATGTCCACTAATTCGCCATGTCGTCGCGGTCAGCCTCTGAACAGTGAACAGGATAGGTTGCCTGAACGAACTTTTCGGAACTCAAACTTCAACTGGAAATGCTGAGGTGAAATCTACCCCAATTCTACATCAATTTCGATCCTTACCATGCAATAGATCTGAAAACATTATTATAAAATGCTTTCACCTTCATATTAGATCATTTTTGGTGAAAATTTAGGCCAATTCTAGAAGCTATTTTCTTCTTCATACGAGTTTCTCTGCGTGTCTAAGGCTAGCAGGAAGGACCTCACTCTGCCGTCCTAATAATTTCCAGTCACGCGCCTTCAAAACACCATTAGTGGCAATTTGACGGCACTCGCGGCTGAATTTTTCGTAAATTTCGCGGCGCTTGCAGACTGCGTGCGCGGCGGCTCGGATGGTCTGGCGTTCGTACATCATGAGAGCTCGGGGACCTGTGCTCAGAATTACGGCCTAAAGCGCCAGAGTTTGCGCTGTCTTTGTGCTGCTAATTTTGTGCAATAATGAGTGAATGAAAATGAAAAGTTGATATGCGAACTGATTGTGTCTAAAATTATTTGAGTTATGAATCTAATATTTTCACCCAATTATGAATTCAAGCCTTGAAGAGGAATCGGCATTGTAGCTGATGTCTACATTATATATTATTTGTAATAGAATCTTTGTGAAATGGAAAAAAATATTTCAACGATGAAGTAAGATACTGTACTTGAAATGTCGAATGAGTTATCGCAAAGGAAATAATAAATGGGTGTACATTAGTGAATGGGAAATTCAATAGTGAATGCTGAATACAATATTGCAAGGGAAATGCAATAATGGCGATCGGAGTTAATCCTGCTCGACTCCCAACGGTCGCCAGAATTCAATATTGTTGAAGGTTATCAAAAACAGGTTCAGGTTCACAAGTATTGAAATGTTATTAATCGTCATGCAGTAAAAAATGTTAACCTTGTTTTTTGAGGTGGCAGACTAAGCCACTACAACTCGTTCCTTTTTTATTCAGCTAAAAGTCTCAGGAAAAAAGGATTGATCGAAGATCAGAGCGCCACCCAACTGTCGACGCGCGATTTGTTCATGTCAAAGCCGTACATTCGAGGCTCATCTTTTGAGCAAAACTGCGCGGGCAAAATCTGTGAGTTTGGCGATGCGTTCAGCGATGCAAGTCTAATATAGCTAATATAGCTAAAATAGCTAATATAGCTTATATAGCTAATATAGCTAATATAGCTAATTTAGCTAATATAGCTAATATAGTTAATATAGCTAATAATATGCATGACCGTGCCTTGCTACACGTCGGGTGCGCGTTCGTTTTTAATCGCCCCTGACCTTCTTTCCTGTCATCATGCAATGAGCTAAAAATATGTTGATGTTGAAGAAAATATTTCTCGGTTGTTGAACCTCAATGTTCCATTCATGATGCAAAATTAGTTTCGATTAATTTTGCTGTGTTGATTTAAGAAGAATTATACATGCTCGAAAATTACATTCCATTTTTTTCCTATTAGTAGGCGTATATTATTCATTAAAATTATATTTTATAACGTTGATTCTAAATGGAGGAAAGCTACTATACTATACCGTAATTATGATAACTATCATCTTTTATTTTGCAGAATAAATCTTAGGAGATTTTCTTTTTATGCTGAACAACTCCGTTTTATTTGCAACGACAACCGCTGTTAAAGCATGGAGTGCTCCAGCATATTTAATTTTTTAAAGATATAGTCAGACCCGAGGATGTTAATAGCCTATAGTCAGACCCGAGGATGTTTCCCGTCCTCGCTTGTAAGATGTAGGGACTCTCATCTGCGCAGGACTTTCCCGCGTAATAAACACGTCAATCAGAACCAAAATGATAAACGAACATTTACTTTACACTAATTCTGACATTTTTTAGCGCATTTTCTCATTTCTGAAAAAAATGCACTATTGTGCTCTGTCCGTCCGTCCGTCTGTCCGTCCGTCTGTCTGTCCGTCCGTGACTTCATGTTTTCGTCGACGAGAAAATGCGCTCTCTGTCACTCACTGCAGTGAGTACTGAGTTATATTTTTTTATTTCTGTTCACTATATTTTATTTCAACTGGAACTTAATCATTTCAAGGCCGGGTCCTTTTTATGTATTAATATTACTTTTATAAATATAATTACTGAATCGACTTCAGTAATTATATTACTTTGCTATATTTTTATATTACTTTGTATTATTTTGTTATATTTCAAGAATTAGTTTCTCCCGCCCTTGTTCGCGAACACACTCTCCGCTCCTGCCGCGCGTTCGTGATCGCTGGCGCCTCGTTCAAGTGTTGACGCTTAATTCGGATGTGCTCGCGATCCCACAAAAATGGCGGTTCCAGCGATTGGAAGAAATTTTCATCTAAGGCTGTTGATTGGATTTGTCATTGATTATAAAAGCGATTGCATTGCCAATTCCCAGGATGAGGTGAGTCTCAGGTTTGGGCTCCAGCCCATGCGGAGATATCAAGGAGGTACCGGTTTTCATCGATGTAACTTGACAAAGCTTTCATTTACTTTGAGCCGACTATTTCATTACCATAACTTGCTGAAATCGATACATACGCATTTTGTGTTGTATCCGGAGTTTTTACTAGGGCGTGGAATATATGTACATTGTACAGCGTAATTCACGAAAGCTTCGTGTTTTGTATTACGCGCCAAGCAGCCAGATGTTGTAAGAAAAGGGCGGGGTGTATTTGAAAATGCAATGAAAGGCAAAGCCATGAAGTTTTGCGTCCGCCTTGTCAGTTGAAAATATGCTATGCATTGGACAAGTGAGCAGCGTGCGTTTGCTGTCTGAGGCGTACTTTTCTAATGGCCGTTGCATTATTGCTACTCAATGAGCATTCCGTACACTGTTAGAAAAAACGGTGAAAAAACCTTCCTACTGGCGTTCCAGTGGCCGGTTGCCCAGTGAAAAGAAACTGTTCCGCCGTTTTTATCAGATGTTTTACGGATTTCTAATGTTAAATTGGAATAAAAACGGCGACACGGTGTTTCTTTTCACGTGCCGACCGGCCACTGAAACGCCGGTAATACCGTTCAACGGTAATTTTTCTGACAGTGTACTCGGTTTCGTATTCGCCCTTCAGGTCGGGTTCCTGATCGTAAATCGATTGTTACGTGGGTGAACACATTTAGGGCAAGTGGAAGTGTGAATGAGTGGGTCTGGAGGTTAGTGGAGTGCCACAACACCCGAAAACGCCGAAGAGTTTGAGAGGCGTTTCTGTGTTCTTCACACCTTCTGAGACAACATTTTGCAGAGCGCGTCATCTCCTTGGTGACCCGATCCCCCGATTTAGCTCCGTGTGATATTTTTGTGGTGTTATCTTAAATCAATTGTTTACAATGACTGTCCGAGGACCCTACCTCATTTGAAGAACAACATACGTCAAGCCAACGCCAAGCCATAGCCAACTTACCCGTCAATAAGCTTCAGCGAGTTGAACGAAACTTAAAAAAATCGACTAAGTGAATAAATTGATAATGCGGACCGTAATTTTTTCGATGTCATCTTTGAAACTGAGTGATAAAAAATTCAGGTAATGTCTTTTTCAATTAAATTTATATTGTAATGATATTTTAACTAGTTCTTTTTTTATTGAACTTTCAAATCAGGAAATTTCCGTGATCGCCCTGTTGTTTCAATAATTAATGTTTCCAAGTATCGAATGATATTGTTTAAAAATTTTACGTGTACTTTTACTGCATATTTTAATCAATGTTCTTAAGTTAAAAAGATTTAACATGACCCTGATCGAATGATTAATGCCACTCATGTAGATTAGGTTTAAATTAATGCGTTGGTTTTTGTTAAAAATTGTCAGAAATCGTATGCCTTTATGTGTGTATTTATGATAGGTTTGTGGGTTTCTAATTGGAGATGCTTTTATTTCCATTGACTGCTAAGCCTTCTGTTATTTCCATTGACTGCTAAGCCTGCTGTTATTTCCATTGACTGCTAAGCCTGCTGTTATTTCCATTGACTGCTAAGCCTGCTGTTATTTCCATTGACTGCTAAGCCTCTTAAGTATGTTTAGATGGTTGAGTGGGCGCAGGAGCCCTCACGCGTAAAGTGGCCGGCGCTCGCCCCGCATGCCGCTGTTGATGAGCGCTGCACTTAAAGAGCATATGCCTGGCGCTGCATCTGCTCGCATGGCAGGTGAGGGCAGACGCGCTTTATGGCTCTAGCCTCCACCTCCCTTATTGGCGGCACCTCGTGTTGGCGGCTACACTTTATGGCTGCACCTCGTGGTGGCGGCTACACTTTATGGCACTTAATGGTAGTGTGATGCTCTTAATGGTAGTGTGATGCTCTTAATGGTAGTGTGATGCTCTTAATGGTAGTGTGATGCTCTTAATGGTAGTGTGATGCACTTGATTTTTGTGTTGTATACTATTTACGTGTATTATGTACTTATGTCCAACAAAAATTCATTATTCAATGCTTCCTAATTTGACAACGAATGTTGTTACGTTCGAATGTTGTTACATTCGAATGTAACAACATTAACAATCGGATATATTATTGTTACATGGTGTAATTTGGCAGAAGGCTTTCTTTCATGCAAGTTTGATTGCAGAACAGATTATGCTTTTTACTTTTATTATTAATAATTGCTAAAATTGCCTTTTGATATACCAACGTCGTCTAATGAATTGTTCGACTCATCGAAAATTGTAATGCATTCTCTGCCTTTAATTGTACGCATATAAATCAGAAAATTCTGCCATCTAATACTAATTTTTAGTATACAATATTTTCTTATGGCTTGCATGCACCCTAGATCCACGTTACGAAAATAGTTGTGCCCTGTG